AAGGGCTCAGCCTCGGTACATGGGTCGCCAGCTCTACCCACTGAGCTAACCGGGCGCCCAATAACTTCCTCTTTCTAAAGATCCATCTGGTCCGATGAAGGTATCTGCACTTTATTTAATGCACAGCTGGATCTCTAAGGCGTAAGAGTCCCATCATCATCTCCGTCCTCCACCACACACCGCCTTCTCTCTGCACAGCGACGGCCGATAACTGATGTCTTCTCCCCTGGTTTCATAATGAACAGATATATCCAGCACACAAGCAGACAACACCACCAAACTCACTTCCAACACATCAATCTGTTTTGTTTTTTCTTCCCAAAGCATTTTCAGTCACAGCCGCAGACGCCTCATTAGCATCTCTGTGTGATGGGGAACGTGTGACTCCCTCAGCTGAACGATTGGCCTCTGAACTTTTAAAAGCAATGATATGTCCGTTAAAACTGTGTGAGAGTTCTTCAAGGATGTGAAGATTTTCTTTTCCTGTGTTCGGGGGCCTCATCACAGGTGGTGGTTCCTTCCGTCTTATCAGATGTGGACGGGCAGTCTCTTTGTGCAGGTATCAGTAGAACAGTTTCTTCAGTCCGAGCGGTGGTCACAAAGTCATTTTTATCTCAAATCTTTATTTCTTCTTCTGACCACAACTCTGAATGGGAATTCAGCTCAATTCCATGAGATTAATCTGTAAAAAGACACATAAAACAGTCAGAACAGGACATTTTCTCTCATGTTTTTCTGCTAAAAATGGAACAGAAGAGACACAAAATACTGAGCATTATTCTCTAATCCTGATCAGACCACATGCACAGGGGTGGATCTAGAGGATTCCTTACCATCGCAGCTTGGTGTCAAATGCTGTCAGATGTAACACATTAATTTAGATTAATTATTAAAGAAAAAGCATATTAACTCATATAATTTAATGATCTGTTAAGGCCACTTTTTAGACTAGGCTTAAGTTCAATGACAAAAGACATGTATTTGGAAATAAAATCGATTTCTAATGCCATATTTAATATTTCTATTCAATGCTTTACTAATGTGCCACAATATCATGTTTTTGAGTTAAAATATATTAATTTGGAGGGTTTTCCAAGCAAATATTGATGTATGTGATTGTTTGTGATTAAATGTCACACAGATTTCTGAAACCCCTTAAAGTCTCCCTCTGACCACGGCGTGAATATTTCGCTAGGTCCGCCCATGCACATGTACAAAAATAACATGTAAGATGTTAAGTAGACTTACTTATATGTGTAAAATAATATCATACAGTAACTCACCGTTGCAAGGAGATTCTCCTTCACTGTTTTCTGGAAATAAAAGGCCGCTCTTGCAGCGTAAGCTTGTCCACAATGACTCCTTATATATCTGCATATATTCATTGGTAACTCTAGTCACACCTTGTTCAATTTAAATACTCTGAACCAAAACCCTTCAAATACTCTATGAGGGCCTGTCTGTCACATGTCAATGCAAACACAAACACCTATTGTCCTCACAGATACAATACAGAGCCTATCCACAGCACAACCAGCATGAGGTCACTTTTCTCAATGGAAACGGGGACAAAGGGTCAATTTGAACATCCTCAGTCATCTGTGGCAGATCAGGTACTGTCACTTGGCAGAGGTGAAGTTGTGACGTTACGGTTAGAAAACCAAAGCTGGTTGGTTAATACACTACTTTTGTAGTGTTGAAGAAATCTGAGGCCTTCGAGAGGGAAGTGATTGAAAAAGCCTTTAATATCTCACGGCTATTTTCTCAGAGTAACAGTTAAAAAACATGCCTACGCGTTTTAGCCATGTTTAGTGACTGAACATTTACTTGTGTGGTTTAAAGCGACGCCCTTCCAACACTTAATGACCTCACTGTAAGATTACAAAAGCTTAATTTAAATCTGAGCTACACCTACGATATGGGGTAGATTTTTTTTTT